CTAAACCCTAAACCCTAAGCCGCGGATCTGCTCTTTAGAGTTTGGAGATCTGAGATCCGGCTTGGGCTTCTGAAGCCTCGCGGCAACCAAGTGCCGGGGTCGATTACTATCTGAGGTTGTTTGGGGTTTAGGGTTTAAGGTTTAGGCTTTGGGGTTTAGGGTTTAGGGTTTAGGAGGTTCCTAATCATACCCGGAGTTCCAGAGATACCCCTTCCTTCAGGAGGGCACGTTAGATGACATGGGGCTTCTTATTCTGATGTAAGTTGCATTGCCAGGGTACGGGTTATTTGGCCGTTCTGGGGCCGCCCGGATTCCTGTGCGCGTCGACTCGACCACATGTCCCGTTTTCATTTTTTAAGATTTGGAGCCACAAGCAGGACCTTTTTTCTGGAAGACCTGAAACCCAGGAAAGCGTTTTAAGAAGCACCCTACACCCTAAACACCAACGCCGCATCCCAAACCAGAAACTCCACCGCTTCAACTCTCGTCCATGAGCCCTTCCGGATTCTCCGAAGCCTGCGGATGCCAGGCGCTGATGGGGCTCCGAAAAGCCTGGGCCTTACCTCTCCGAGTAGGGATGTGGAGGTGCACAGGCGCGGAGCTCCGAGTGTGCTGCCCAAAACCTCCCAAGGCCTATGCCGACCTCAAGGCTCTCTTCAAGGCTCAATCTCTTCGGGTGCGAAAGAAGTGTTGCAGGGCTGTGATCGATGTTTCAGATTTTCAAGGGCCAGGATGTGCGGTTTTAGGGTGATGGGTTGAGGGCTTGGAGTTTGAGTGTTGTAAGGTTTTTGGTTCAGTGTTGGGGTTTTGGGGTTCCAAACTTAGTAGTCCTGATGCCAAGGCAACCTAACTAAACCACAAATCCCTGCATCACCAAACCGCGAGAAGAACTGGCTGGGGCCAGGGAAGTCTTTGACTCGTGCACATAGAGAGCATGGGGTTGTGGAGGTGTTTCTATCAAACCGAGCCTTCTTTGAAACGTCACTGAACGCTCGAACCAAGGTTCCGGGTTTCCTTGTGTGCATGGGCACACATCTCATGGTCGGTTTTGGACAATAGCCTCCCATACTTTGTCCAGTGCTGCACGTAGTCTGCAAGTTTGAAGCTTGAGGGTAGTAACGCTTGTTGAGGAGTGTGGTCGCATCCTCGACTTAATATGACGGCATAGGTAAGCTCGTTACAGATGGGAACCTGGAGAAGTGAGCCCTGATGCTTGTGCCAGGATGCCTTGGCAGAGGAGAAAGATCAGGTCATCAAGGTCGGGACACCAAGGAGACATGAAGCCCCCTCAAGCTTGAAACCCTAACACCCTAGGGCCCTGAAGAACGAAAGCCCCTTGAATCCTAAAGCCGAACACTCAAAGTCCCCAAGTCTCATGGATTGATTGGAACGGCGACTTCTCTCGAATGCGCGCTCT